TCCCCCCCCCACGGAGGCGGCGGGGGAGGGAAGGCAGCCGACCCGACAGACGCAAATCCATCAGGGATCCCTTCGACAACAGACAGAACGGGCACCTGAGCTCAGGACTCAGAGCATCTCCGTGCCCTGTACGGGAAGGGATCCAGGCAGGGATGCTGCACCCCAGTTCCCCGAAGGGGCAAAGCTGGGGAGACACAGCCAGCAGCCCCTGCCCCAGGCGCTTGGCTGCAGCTCTCCAGCCCAGGGGTGAGCTCGGCCCCCCTCCCCAGCCCAGCGGCAGCATTGAATGACTCCTGCGTGTCACCATGGGGTGGAGGAAAGGGTCTCGGGGTAGGGAAACCTTCCTCTCCGGCTCCAGTCTGTGTCGTTCATAACTCACTTGATCACAAGCCTTTCTAGGACAGTCGCTGTTGCTTCTAAGTGCCTCACCAAAAAATAACTATTTCTTTTTTTTTCCCCACCAGATGGGAGCCTGAGGCTTGCAGAGCTGCAGAGGCAAGTCCAAAGTCAGAGGAAAGCTAGGGCACATACAAACCAGGAACTCCAGTTCCCCAGTATCGTAGCTGCCACCTGACCCCTCCTCTTCCCTTTGGCCAGTCACTTCCCAGCGGGATGGCACCCGTAATCCCAAGACTGGTCCCCAGGGTGGGCACAGACACACAACAGCCAAGCTATAATCCCGGGTGCGGGGGAAGCGAAGCTGACCCTGAGATGCCCACAGCGCCTCTGGGCAGCCCTGCATCTCTACGAGGGGGGACCACCCTTCGGATGCTCCCCTAATGCGGATCTTTGATTTTTAAAGAACAGCCAGCTTAACCGTGTGATACGACCACAGCATCCCTGGAGGGGGAGGGGTGGGGGGAACAGCGGACACAAAGACATCTGCACGACACCTTGTCTTGCTGGAGGTGCTGCATGGTGTGGCACAGCTGGCCTCCCCTGGGGTTTTGGGGAGCGGCTGCAGGTGAAGGGGAGGGCGGGAAGGGCAGCAGGAGGGAGCGCCGAAGCGGTACGGAAGAGAGGACATGCCAGGGAGGCGAAGAAGTGCTGACCTTCCACTGGTGGGGCATCTCCTGGCCGTCCCGCAAACACAGAAATACCGTCCCCTCTCGTGGCGAGTGCCTCAGGGCTCAGCTGCCAGGAAATGAGCTGGCAGGGCTCATTGAGAGGGCTTTAAACTAGGTTCGAAGGGGGAAGGGGATATTGCCCAGCTCACTAGGGATGAGCCCAGGCTTGGCGTGCCAGGGTCAGGGGTGAGATTGACAGCCCAGCTCAAGTGTGTCTACACCAATGCACGTAGCTTGGGCAATAAACAGGAGGAGCTGGAAGCCATTATACAGCAGGACAGCTACGACTTGGTCACCATCACAGAAATGTGGTGGGACAACTTGCATGACTGGCATGCTGTCATGGATGGCTACAGACTCTTTAGGAAAGACAGGCCAACAAGG